CTAAACCCTAAACCCTAAACGTACCTCGGCTCGCAAGGTGGGCTTCTCGTCGACGTGGCAGCGCTGCGGAAGCCTTCGCCTTGGCGATTTGAGTTCGTGTAGGGTTTAGGGTTTAGGGTTTAGGGAATTTCCGACAAAAAGGGGTACCTTATTTTGGGGTCCTTATAACAAGGATGCTACTATTTAGGGTACGATATTAGGTCCCCTATTTTTCGGAAAATTGGTCAGGAGCCCCTAGCCCTTGTGAGCTCAGGCGGAGTTCAACTGATGGCTTTGTCCACGTTGATTTAGACTCCAACGTGACCTTCGTACGGTCTCTGGACCATGCCAGCAGCTAAGGGGCGAACGGTCAAACGTGAGGGCTCATTTGGCAGCCTTCTGCTGCACCAAGCTGCCAAGGATGACCCAGCTACTGCTGGAATCGTCATCGAGGGTGCTGTCGCACTTAGGCGCGGCTCTCACCCCCACATAAATTCTACATGACATATCTCCATTAAGCCCCAGACCCCATACCCTAAACCCTAAAAGCTGTTCCTCGGCGGCACAGGCGGCGCATTCTTCAAAAGCAAGGTCTTAGGCTCGTCCGCACCCGAGCGCATCTGCGAGCGTGATGTTGATTCAGGGTTTGTGGTTTAGGTTTTACGGTTTAGGGACGCGCTTCAACCGAATTGAATTGGGAAAGGTTGGTCTTCGTCTCGTACGTGGCATGACTGGAGCGGAGTTCCGTGGGTGTGTAAACCCACGGCATGATCCGAAAACATCACGTGTAGTGAGAATTAACGAATCCTTCCAGTCATCTAAAGCTCCCACCATACTCGTCTTGTTCTGTATTTCGATCTGTGAGAGATACATCGAGCAGAGCCCTATACAACCCCCTAAACCCTAAACCCTAAACCGCAAGAGTATGAAGCTACGTACCCAGGTCACAGTTCGTGAAAGCGAATGGCGGGACCTCGATGAGAGCAAGGACAGCGCGAGTTTTACGGTTCAGCGGTTTAGGGTGTAGGGTATATTTCTTATTTAAGGGGTATTTTAGGGTTTTGGGTTTAGGGTTTGGGGCTTGGGGTTTAGTGTGTCGGACCCGAATGGATAACATGGGAGGGGCAGGTCCATTCGGGTTTAGGGTTTAGTGATCATGGAAACAAAGCTCCCCAGAGAACCCTAAACTCGTAACCCCAAACCCAAAGGGACACCCTAAACCCCAAACCCTACACCCTAAGCCCCAAACCCTACACCCTAAGCCCTAAACCCTAAGGGACACCCTAAACCCCAAACCCTACACCCTAAGACCCCCAACCCTACACCCTAAACCCGCAACCCTACACCCTAAACCCCCAAACCCTACACCCAAAGCCCTACACCCCAATGGACACCCTAAACACCAAACCCTACACCCTAAGCCCTACACCCCCATGGACACCCTAAACCCTACACCCTAAGCCCTCAAACCCTACACCCTAAGCCCTCAAACCCTACACCCTAAACCCCCAAACCCTACACCCTAAACCCCCAAACCCTACATCCTAAACCCCCAAACCCTAAACCCTAAACTCTAGACCCTAAATCCTAAATATCCCCCAAACCCTAAACCCTAAACTCTAGACCCTAAACCCTAAACCCTAAACCCTAAACCCTAAACCCTAAACCCTAAACCCTCAACCCTAAACCCTAAACCCTAAAC